GAATACATTTTCTTATGACTATTTTTGAATACAAGTGAGTATTTACAGTACCAGGCAAAAGTCAGAGACCACCCTTCATCTATTTAATCTGCGGTCAGAATGGCCACAAAGTTATTCATTTATCAGGAGATGTTTTTGAGGAGATTAGACATAAGACAGTTCACTTACATAAGGAAGGGGAAAGTCAAAGGAAAAAGTTTCCAAAATTGGAGTTCAAAAAATTACATAAACTATAAAGAAAATGGGACTCCTAACAACCATGAAAGACCTTGTAGACCACCAAAACAGTCACCATCAGGTCAACAGTAAAGTACTTAAAGCTCTCATCTTTGAGAGAGAATCAACCTGCACTCTTGCTTCAGAAAATCCACGTTTCTGTCCGACACCTCAGTGCTAGGAGTCTGAATGGATGTGTAAAGAAGCTGTCAAGAAGCTGTTATTGAGAAAAGGAAACAGACAAAAAAAGAAAATTTGCAAATCAAACCAAGAACCTGCCACTGTTCTCCGAACAATAGACTGACCACCCCGGAGTCCAGATCTTAACATCACTGAATGTGTTTGGGATTACTTGGATAAGAATGAGAAAATGCAACCAACTTCTAAAACTAAACTTTGGAGGTGGAAGAATATCCCTGCAAATTTGAAAAACTGAAATCAAGTGTCTTGAAAAGACTGAAGGCTGGTTTTGTTCCAGTTCTGAAAATGAATAACTTGTACTTAATGGCTGTTTTAAATGGAAATGAAGTTGATGGAGGGTGGTCTCTTACTAAATTACTTACTCACTTCTGAGTCTGGTCACAATGGGTACTGCAGTAATACGCGGTCTCATAACGGACTGGACGTGTTGCATGATAGCTGCAGGAAGGCCGTCATGTTCACAGCTTTTGTGCTTAACCCCATGGTGTGAGTGTGTGCGTGTGTATGTAGGAGACGGGGCTTTGAATATTATCTGTCTTGAACATCTGTGTCTTTTAGACCACAGTGGTGTCAGAGACTCCTATTATAAAAGACCTTCAGATGTTGTTAGAGTTTTAAAGAATGTCCACAGCACTTTGAGGCCAAAGCTGGTGAAAATGAAAGCATATGATCACTATGCTGTCTTTTCTCTTTAGTTGAAGTCTCTGGTATCAGTTGTAAACCTCGCATTGTTTTTACAAGGTTTGATGCTAACTCGCCGAATCCTTTGAAGAAGGAGAGAATGGTGGGGTGCAGAACGAAGTGGATTCACCACTGCTACTGGTTCACATTTAGGCCAGGATCTCGATATGGACAACACATGTTACTTCTATCTCTCTCCCTCTCTCTCTCTCTCCCTCCTCATTCCTCTTTCACTCTGTTTTGTCCCTTTCACTTTCAGCAAGCACATCTTAGCTCACAGGATCTCACCTAACCTCTCTCTTGTTGTTTGTCTGTCTCCATGCTTGTATCCATCCTCCTAAACTCTCACCTCTTTCCTCATCTCACTGCCTTTTTCCAGCAGAAGCTGCAGCATCTGCTCTTAATATACAAACCGTCTCACTTCACCAAGCACATTTTATCTAAGTGTGTGTATGTGTGCCGGTCTCATGTTGAATGTCTGGGATGGTCCCCATTTGCCTCCTGAAGTGTGCAGGAATAGCTCTCTGCTCCTCATGCCCTGCTTTATCTGTCGTTCATTTATGAAAAAAAAGAGAAAAAAAAGAAACAGTAGGAGCGATTGTTCACTTGCCAGGAGATTTGACTTCAGTGTCACATTTCAAAGTGCTGCAGCACGACTAGCATTACAGGAGCTTTGTGGCGTCTGGTGGACCTACTGCATCGAGCCTCAGCCTCAGTCAAAGAGGGAGGGCGAGCTTCTCTTTGTTTGCACTCATCACAGAAGAGGGGTTCGCATGAAATCTGCACATGTTCCACTAGACTAGTTCAGCCTGTTTGCAGTGTTTTATTAAACATTATTAAAAAAAGAGAAAGATTTCTAAACGGTTCATGGCTGAAATGCATATATAAAAACCTCATAAGAACATTTTTATTAGACAGAGGTTTTTTAAATTGAACTGAAAAAAAGTTCACACTCATACATCTCATTTACAGCAGTGGTTCTTTGAAGGTCCATCCCTCAAAAAAGTTTTTTAGGTAACCAAATGTGGTTCGGTAACCCTTTAACTAAGGGCCACAAATAAATTGATAATTATATGCCAATAAATCATTAAATACTCTTTATTTATATAGTAGTTAACTGTTCATTAAGCATATTATTGCTTAGTTACTGATTATGTAGTAATTAGTAATTGAATACACTGTTAACACGAGTTAATAAGTTATTATGCCATGTCCAACTTTGCTTGGAAGTGGGAAATTGAAGCTCAGGATTACGTCATTTTCAACGTCCGTGCATTAGAGCTACACAGTGGAGAAAAATACATACACTTCAATGAATGCAAGTAGTATTATAATGTTCTTAATTGTATTGCAGCATCACTAGAAAAGAGTCGTGACCAGGATTCATGTTCAAATCAGAAAACCCTTTATTTAAGCATACTCACACTTGCAAAGGTGGTGCAGGGAAAACAGAATCACATTGAGAGTAGATAAGGGCACACTCAAACATGCATATAACCTGACACCATTAGCCAATGGTAAGCCACGAGTGCCACAATATAATAGAAAGAAACTAGATGACACAACTTGACCTACTCAAGTAAACGTAACTCTGCATAACAAAGAAAGCTCCTGAGATTTTGATGAATCAGATTTAAAATTGTGAAGTAGTAGTTAAAGAAAATTAAGGAAATGAATTTGCAAAGATTTGTTGCATAGTGGTATCCAACCATAATAAAATTAGATTTTTTACTGTCCTCCAGAGAGAAAATTTGTTCTCAGGCTGTGCCATTTGTACATTGTATTGAGACATACAGCCGATCAGACATTAGGAATTACGTACATTCATTAAGCATTGGCTATTACTTAGTTACTAATTAAGTGCTTACTAATTAGTTATTGAATACACTGTTAACATGATAGTTAAGTCAGTTATGCACAAAACAGACATAAGTACAGGAATCCCCATCCATACAGCACCAACAAAAGACATATGTATCAGTTACTTCCTTTAAAAGTATGCATTGTTGAATACCCATTTCAGTGGGGTAGATTGTTAAGGACTGGTACGGCTAAAGGTGCAAAAGTTTGCAAAATGAGCTTTTTTGCATGCTAATGTTCTGTTTTTCTGGCCTGATGAAAGATATTAGTAGTGAAGTAAAGATCCTTGCTTCACTTGGACTGACACATAAGGCAGCAATTAATAGTAATGTTAAATGAAGTATAGAATAATTAATGGTCAATGAGACTATGACTATGTGGAGGTGAAGGAAAAAGGTCCAAAGACTTTGATCCATACAACAGTGGAGCAAAAATGTAGTGATAAATTTAGTAGATAGATTAACAGATAATTAAGGGTACTGGTGCATAATTACTAGTTAGTTCTCATATTACTCCTTTATAGGAAACATATAAGTTCATTAGCATTGTAAAAAACATCTGTTTTTACACAATGAATGAGAAATTAAGTTATGAACTAAACTGACAAACTAAACTTTTCATTAAAGAGTGCTCAATTACTAATTTCTAAGTGTAGCTAAGTAATAACTACTGCTTAATACACACTGAATATATAAATAATGAGTAATTAATGACTTATTAATGATATAATTAATCTTTCATTTGCACTCTTTAATGTAAAGTTTTATCAATTCTTCTGCTGCATCACTGAAAGAACACTTTTTGGCAGCTTCATAGTGATCCAAACCAAAACAAATCAAACACACATTGCTGCTGAGAACACGATAGGAAGCAAGCAGTATTTTTCTTTTCAAAAGTTTGAAATTTCCAACTACCAAAACAGTACAACATGTCTGTTTATGTTCAGTTTAACCAAATGTAATTTTTGAATATTCCACAGGTTTGCAGTGATGTACTTTCTTTCTAGTGTGATATATGGGACAGTCTTTCTCACTTTGTTAATAACAGTCCCTTACAATGACCAGTTTTTGATTATTTACAAACTCCTACTATATCAAACTGACTCAGTAATCAAGGCTTCAGGAGCATCTGCAAGTGAGAACTGGTTGAATATATGATTGAAGCTGCAGTAAAACTCTGCACATAATTACCATGAGCAGAACAAATTGAGAAATAAATGTTGTACAAATTGCTGTAGATATTACTCAAACCATTTGCTTTATATTCGTAACTTTTTTCAACATTTTATGTTGATAAATATACTACTATCTTTTAAAAACTTTGTTTTTAAAAAGTCTGTTACTTCCAAACCTTTGGTCTGTAATTTAACTAGTTCCATACTTTTTCCAATATATTTCCAATGTCTGCATGTTGATATTCAACCCTATCACATACTTTCAGTGTCCTTATTTTAGATACTGTATATTTTAATACACATACATGAAACATCAAAACCACCACACTCTCTGAGAACTGTCTGCTCAGAAGCCCCATCCAACTGATGCCACATGTTTGGTTTGTAGTACTTACTCAGTTTTCAGATGGGTAACCAACTTAAAGCAACTGTGTGTGTGTGTATAGCAACTGTCAAAACACAGTTCAGTCTGAGTCAAATTCATTACTCTACACAATCTTTCTGTGCTTGTTTCTCTTAATTGCTAAGTTAGGTCATTGTCTACAGTTCCCAGCCACAGCAGGAGTCTTAACTATCATCTGTCTCAAATGATCTCCCCCTCAACGTGTTTATGAGCAGAATTCTAAACACTTACGAACACACACACTCCTGTATTGTAGTCTTTATGGGAGTTCCGTTGGCCTATATATTAGTATAGCAGTATGCTAATAGGACTGCACCTAATCTTAAAGTTCCTAAACTTAGAGTCCAGAAGGAAATCATTTTCCACCATTACTTTTTCAGCACATTTTGTTAAATGTTTTGTTTTTTGGTTTATGCTTGAAGTACAGATACATATATCCATATATATGTTTGTGTATGTTTGCAGGGAGGTAATCAGACTGCCACAGTGATCGCTCTCTGCTGTATGAGAGATTTTAACCTGGCTCAGGAGACGTGTCAGCTCGCCATCAGAGACGTGGGGGGGCTGGAGGTGCTCATTAACCTGCTGGACACTGACGAGGTCAAATGTAAAGTGAGTGCTTTCACAACCTGATTTTGAAAACCCAAAGCTAGAACAAACTATAGATCTAATGCTGTTTTCAACAGCTGTAGAATAGACTAGTGCACTGATGAGGTTATGACAGATAAAATGTTGCACCTGGATTACTCCACTCCAGCTCACTTGTGACCTGGCAGGTAATGTCATATAGTGCTGGTCAAAAGTCCTTAATTTATTTAATTTCAAGTAGATATCTCTTTTTCCAGGAGATATTGTTGAGGATAATAGATAATTGTTTGCATAAGGAAGGTGAAAGTTGAGCAAAACAGTGGAAAAAATTGAGTTTCTGAACTAGAGTTATTAAAAGATGTTGGGAAAGTGGGACTCCTAACAATCATACAAGGCCTAGTAGACCATCAAAACTGTCACCTTCAAATTAAACAGTAAATAAAGCTTTCAACTTTACAGCTCAGCACTATGGGTCTGAACGGATGTTAGCTGTTGCTGAGAGAAGGAAATAGACAATAAAGAAGAATATTTGCAAACCAAGCACAGAAGCTGCTGGTGTTCACAAAACATCATTGTTGAAAGACTGAACTTCAGAGGTGTGGAAAAATATCCCTGCAGATTTCTTTGAAAACCTGAAAGCATTTCTCCCAAAAAGAATGGAAGCTGTGATAAAGTCAAAGTTTGGGCACATTAAACACTAAAAAAATAATCTAATTTAGCATTTTATTAAATATAGTTGTTGGGAGTTCATTAATTCTGTGATTTTCTGTTTTTGACTGGAAATTGGATAAATGAAGGGTGGTCACAATGTATTTCCATAAGAAAATTCAAGCAAAAATTTATTTAATTTAATTTAAATTCATACAACAATACAAGATTTTGAGACTGTTCTCTGAATACATTTTTCGTTGTTAATTTTTAAAATTTGCCCTGAATGACTGAATCTGAATCAAAATTTGGTAAATTTTAAATACAACAGTTAAATAATTGTTGGTTCGATTTATAATACAACAGGCCATAGATGAAATGGCTTAGAGTAAAAGTCCCATTGTGTACAGTTGCATACAATTTACATGCATAACAGACAATTTCTCTTGAAATTTTTACAGAACAGTCTGTTCTCAGTGCGACTTATTCCTGTTATATCAATGTCTCTGACAGATTGGTTCTCTGAAGATCCTGAAGGAGATCAGTCGCAGCTCTCAGATTCGGCGGGCCATCGCTAACCTGGGGGGTCTGCAGACCATGGTGTCTATCCTGGACTCCCCAGACAAAGAGCTCAAATGCCTGGCTGCAGAGACTATTGCCAACGTGGCCAAGTTCAGGAGAGCCCGTCGAACCGTGCGTCAGTACGGTGGCATCAAGAGACTGGTGAGTGACAGTGATTGATGTGTGCACATGTGTGTACATAAGCATGCGTAAGCTCTAATTCATAGACTCTAAACAGTGCTTATGCTCATTGTTGGAAATCAAATACAGAGCCACCCACAAATAAATGTCTTACTCCTCCTCTCACTCCAACCAGACATATACAGACGCACTTCAGTGGCAGAGACCTTACCCACCTGTTTCTGCATACCCCCTCCCCTCTGTCTCGTTGCCCCTCTCATTTTATAGCCCTACATCAAAGGCTATGCAGTTCAGGTAAAAACAGATTGAATATCGGGCTGCCCCTTGGCCTGGCGGGTGTGTTTATTGACGGAGTGACGCTTGGTATGATTAGAGCCCATGGGTTTCGCTGCTCTGTATATTTACACGGGTCCAGACTCGGACGTAGTCAGTGTAGCCATCACAGATTAGTTCCACCTAAAGAATCAGACCACCTCTGAACCACACGTATGTAATGCTGTAGTACACTGTTGCCTGTATTGCGTCACAGAAAAGGAAACTTTAAGCTTCCCCTTTTAACAGAGTTGACCAAGTCTTAAACAGAGCTTTAGATTTAGCTTTTAAGTTAAAAAAAATTAACAGTAAATTTAATTTAATATGTTTTATAATGTTTAAGTTAAGTGTGTTCAGCCTTTAGCTAATGTTAACTGAGTATGAAATCTTTTTTTATAGTCTAATATCACATCCATTGTTAATTAATTGCCATTGTCTCCTGCTTTTATAAAATATTTTGTTTAAAACAGTGATAAATAAACCTCCAACTCTGAATTGTCAGGAAACAGGAGAGTTCTGGAATTCTTTTGGGGTCTACAGGTTTAAAAAAGGCAAAGCTTCTGAATACTTAATAAAGAAATGAGTCTTTTATTTGGGCATCCCTACTACAAACCAATTTTTTTCTAGTGCAAAAACTGCTGCCTAGGCAACATGACATTTATATGAACCTCAAGAAAAATATATATTTTTGGAAAAGGAAACACAGCAGTACAAACAAAATTAGAGGTTAATAGTACTGTTTTAATCTGTCAAATAGTTTAGCCATAAATCATTATTTCTTATGAATGGACGTCAGTGGGAAAACATTGGAATACCTGCATGCTGGAAACTGTTATGCTTGTATTTTCTAGAACACTGCCTATCACTACATAAGTACCTGGTACAGTTTAGTACAATCATTGCAAATTATTGTAAATTATTTAAATTATTGTTAATGGTCACCTGGGGTTGTATTACAGAAACTTCCTATCTTTTTGTCTTAACTTAAGATCTGACAAGTCAAGATAAGATTTTTCACAAATTTGTATTACAGAAGCAAATCTAATCTTAATTTAGGAAACTTTTCTTTCAGCATCTTATCTTATCTCAAGTTAAGAAATCTTAAATTACTCAACTTAATCTTAACTTATTCAAAGTCGACAATCAATTGTAGTGTCTGTTACCTAGCAACCTGCCATACACGCACAGCTGAAACGTAAATACATAATCAAAACAATCAAGCTAGTCAGCCAGACAGCTAACTACCGTTATTGTGTAGAAAAAAGCTAAACTAAAGCACGATAAACTGAAAGTTAAGAATATTGTGAGAGCGCATTGTGCTGTTTATCAGAGCGTCGTCACTCTCCAGTTTCAGTTTCATTACCCAAACACTTTAGCCAAACATGCTGACATTATTCCTCCTAATAAACAGACACACATTCAGTTCTGTCTCCTCAATTATTCACCACCATCACTGTAATATTTTATCTGATGAATTTTCATCAACATTAACACTCGAAGGTAATAAGAGGGCACGGTGGAGTGTCTGCAGCATCTGGGCTTTTAAAACACTGTTAGAAAAAAAAAAACACAAGTCAAAGCTTTTCAGTGTAGATGAATGTAATGTCATTATGCTGATTATAGTGAACTCTGCTGCCTGTCACTGCATAAAACTATAGAAACAGATGGTTAAAACAGAAGTTAAGACAGCTCTGGGGTTGTCTTAAAGTAAGGACAGAATTTATGAAATTTTGTCTAGTTAGGATGTTTCTGTAATACTGTTTTTTTTATCTGGAGTTAGGATAAGATTATGAACGGTTGTTCTGTAATAGCTACTGTCCTAAATTCAGTCCTAAGTAAAGTTGTCATTGTGACTAAGCAGATAAGCTAAGATTTCAGACTTAAGAAGTTTCTGTAATATGGCTGCAGAATTCCAACAAAAGCTACAAGCCAGGCAGGTCCCACATTCTCCAACAAATTTGTACGTTGGGTTAGTGTGTCATGTGTGTGATTCTTAGGAGGTTCTAGAGCAGGGGTGCCCAATCCTGGTCCTGGAGATCTACCACTCTGCACAGTTCCAACCCTAATCAAACATGGGCTTCAGGGCCATCTGAATATTAGAGCCAGCTGTGTTGGATCTGATCTCTCCAGGGTGGCCTATCTTCAGGAGCAGGATTGGTGTTATATTTTGGTACATCTTTAACTAATATCTCTACAATCTCTGACGATCTACAATCTCAACTACATATTACAAATGCATTGTTGGAAATTTTAGTGCCCTCAAAATCACATTTTTACAATTCGCACACTAAGAGAATCATGGCTGACACACATAAAAATAATGCCCTACAGCGATAGGCATCCTTTTCGGACACCATGTTGTTTGTCGGGGAATATTGAGTCAGTGTGCTATGGCCTGAAGTGTCCTTGTTAAAGCACACGTGGATCTACATCTTATGAATGGCAACCATGCCTTGGATCACTTCATCGCAATGCACTGTCACCACTAAACTCTAGCATGCCTCTAAAGGCAGTTTCCGTTCTTTTTATAGAGATCTCCTCTAGTCAGAATGAATTGACTCAGCTAAATAACAAGTTTCCTCATTCAACAGCTAATTAAGGTCATCCAATGACAATGATTAAGTCTAGGTGTGGGTTAATTTTTTTTACCAGTAATGCAGATTTTACTGGTAATGGAGATTATTGAAGAAAGTACAGCTCTATGAAATCCAAATAAAGCATGATGGTGTAAAGTACCACAGGACCACATTGGGATGACAGAGTCATTGTGGTTTGTCTTTTCAGGTGGAGCTGCTAGATTGCGTGCCTGACTCGGCCATGCTGAGCGCAGATCAGGAGAAAGACGTGGAAGTGGCCCGCTGTGGAGCTCTGGCACTGTGGAGCTGCAGCAAGAGCACCAGGAATAAAGAGGCCATCCGCAAGGCAGGTGGTATCCCCCTGCTTGCCCGCCTGCTCAAATCCCCCCAAAAGAACATGCTCATCCCTGTAGTGGGCACGCTGCAGGAGTGTGCCTCTGAGGTATTACTCTAACTTTAGATCTCTGTCAACATTTACACTTTCTGATGTTAATCTTATACTGACATTACTCATAACACAATGTTGCATTTCCTTTTGTTGAATAGAGAGTCTATAAATGACAAATATACAGTAAATTGAAGAACGAAAATCAATATAATTAAAAATATTAAAAAACGAAGAACGTTAAAGGAATGGTCCAAGGTTTTCTAGAAAACGCATATTTCCAGCCAGTTGGCAGGCTCAAACCACGTTTGATATTTCACAAGGCATAAAATGAGACCACAGAATTGCCTTCTGATATACAGCTGAAGCAGTGACACTGTGTTCTTGTAAAGTTGTGCTATTATTTCCATCTTATAGTAAAGACTGATGAATAAAAGAATGCATGTAATCTTGTAGCTCACCTAGTTTTATATTAGCGTTTTTAATCCTGCTCCTTGCGACCCACATCACTGCACAGTTGCAACTATTCTCTGGACTAAACGCATGATTCAGATCATGAAGGGCTTGATAATCCATCAGAAGCGTGAGTAAGAAACTCTCATTTGCATGTTGTGAAAACCCCACGAAAATATTTTTTTCTAAATTGGAAATATTTTTCTAAATCGAAACTGGAGAAAAGTTTTCTGATTTTTGGTTGCAAAACATTGGATTATTCCTTTACCACTAGATAAGGTACCAGTTAACCTATCCATGCTCCACCCACAAATGAATTTGTTGCAACTGTTGCATTTCACCTAATGGCTTTAGGTTGAAGTTTAGATTTGTTACATATTGTTGGGTTTGCAGTTTAAAATTCTGCACTACCAAGCTGGACTATGTTGTTGTAGCTAATCAAAACTAGGCAGGTGGAAATGACAACTATTTTGTCAACATTGCTAATGGTAGATGTCACAACAACAAAACAACACCCAGTTTATCCTAACAATTTTCACTCACATACAAACTTAAAAGTAATCTGAAGTTAACGACACACTTTAAATATATGTATTTTGACAAAAACTGAGTCTCTTTTTTAGAAAGAGTTATTTTACAGACTTTGAAGGATTTCTTTTTATTTGGTTTGGCAGATGAGCTACAGAATAGCCATTCAGACAGAGGGCATGATTGAGGATCTGGTGAAGAATCTTAACTGTGACAACCAGGAGCTTCAGATGCACTGTGCAAGTGCCATCTTTAAGGTAATATTGCAGACACCTGGCATGATCAGTGGCCTTTTAGAGCTAGCTAAAGTGCTTTTGCAGCTGCAAGTTCCCCCTTTTTCACTTTATTTGAACTGGAAAGATTTGAAGAAACATCAGGTACATGCCTGTCACTTTGGCTTCATGGTGATTTAGAGGTGCTTCTGTTAATGTGTGGCAGTGTGCAGAGGATAAGCGGACACGTGACCTAGTCCGGCAGTATGAGGGTCTGGAGCCTCTTGTTGTTCTGCTCAATGAGGCTGACAACAAGCAGCTGCTTGCAGCTGTCACCGGAGCCATCTGGAAATGCTCCATCAGCATGGAGAACGTAGTCAAGTAGGTATACCATTTATCACCAGTGTTGTACCCTATTTGTAATGCAACTGTAAGTATTGTAAACATGTAATACCACATTTATAAATGTGCCATAGCCTATTGCATGGGTTTCAAAACACAATATTAGGGATTTAATACGGAGCCATGCTGTTTTATTATATGCAGAATGCGGTTTGACATCGTCTTGCTGAAATAAGCAAGGCCTTCCCTAAAAAGGTGTCATCTGCATGGCAGCATATGTTGCCAAAACGTATATATCGTTCAGCATTAATGGTGCCTTCACAGATGTGCACGTCACCAATGCCATGGGCACTAATGCACCCCTATACCATCATGAAAACTGGCTTTTGAACTGTGCACTGATAACAAACTGAGTGGTCTTTAGCCTGGAGGACACAGTGTCCATGATTTCCAAAAAGAATTTCAAATATTGATTCATCGGACCACAGGACACTTTTCCATTTCTCCTCAGTCCATTTTAAATGAGCTTGGGCCCACAGAAAGTGGCAGCATTTCTGGATCCTGTTTATATCTGGTTTCTTCTTTGCGTTTTAGAGTTTTAACTTGCATTTGTGGATGCAGCGACAAACTGTGTTCACAGACATTGTTTTTCAGAAGTGATCCCGAGCCCATACAGTGATTTCCACTACAGAATCATGTCTGTTTTTAATGCAGTGCCGCCTGTGGGCCCAAAGATCATGGCCAGCATATACTGTTTTTTTGCCTTGTCCCTTGTATACAGAGATTTCTCCAGATTCTCTGAACCTTTAATTATGTTATGTACCATAGATTGTGAAAAGCAAAAGTTCTTTGCTATTTTACGTTGAGAATCATTATTCTTGAATTGTTATTTGATTGTGCAGTCTTTCACAGTGGTGAACCCTTCCCTATCTTTACTTCCAAAAGACTCAGCCTCTCTGGGAGGCTTTTTTATACCCAATCATGTTACTGACCTATTGCCCATCAACCACCAGGTGTTTTTTTTTAGCATTACACAACTGTAACAGCCGTTTGTGGCCCTCATCCCAACGTTTTTGGGACGTGTCATTGGCATCAAATTCAAAATGGGCATATATTTAAAAAAAAAAATCAGATTTCTCAGTTTCAACATTCGATATGTTGTCTTTGTACTATTTTCAATGAAATGTAGGGTTTGAGTGACTTGCACATCATTACATTTTGTTTTTATTTACATTTTCTACAACGTCCCAACTTTTTTGGAAATGGTGTTGTATTTGTTGATGATATAGCTGTTGATAAAAGCAACAATATAAATTCTGAAGTGTATATTGTCTGCTGAGATTCAGCCAAATGTGTCAAAACACATTGGAGAGCTCTTCATAGTGCAGATGGACAATGACCCAAAGCATTCTGCAAAAACAACCCAAGACTTTTTTAAGGCAAAGAAGTAGAATGTTCTGCAATGTATAGGTAAAATGTGTAATGTGTAAGGTAAAAATGTATAAGGTAAAATGCCTAAAGAACATCATGCCTGTCGTTTGAGGTTTGATATAACTTGAAATGCAGATGTTTAAAATGAATGAAACATATCCCATTCTATATAGCAACTACTCACATATTACAGAAGCACCCGAGAATGGAACATTCATTGTGTGGTCAGCGAGGCCTCCTTACCGCATGGAACATGTGTTATTAGAGTAGATGGACTCAGGTGATTTTGAGGGCTGTAATTGGCTGCAGATTGACCGGTCAGGGCTTCACTCTTGCTGTGAGAGTGGCCCTGTGCTGCAGAGCAGGAGGGCTACACACACAGAGGATGTGCAATCACATTTGCCGACTCTTTACGAGACGTCTCATTTGTTCACATCTAGCACTCACTTTTTCCACCACTGAATTCTGCCATGCCTCATCCCTCCTCGCCGAGGACAACTAGAAGTGATTATTTGAACAAAATACAAACGTTTTTTTACACTCTGTCTGTGAGCTCTGATCTTGTATGATGACTGTTTGCCAGTGGAATGTGTTTTCTCTTTCACCCACACTGTTAACAAAAGATGAAGTAAAGTGTTGATTTTATGGACAGCAGTGATGTGTTAGTCAAAGCAGCACTGCCATTAGCGCATGGAATGGGCTGTGGGAGCGGTGGAATGCGCGCTTTTGCCACTTGTGCTGTAATAGTCCGAGTTTGAGCTGACAGCCCTTTAAATCGTTTGTCATGTACAGTGCGTCGGCCTCTATTCCAGCGTCATTCCGCTCATCTAGGATGATGACGATCCTGGAGGCTTTCCTGCTGTAATTTTTCTGGCGCGTGATGTTTTTTAAGACGGTAATTTTCCCCCCATAAATAAAAAAGCCTTGGAACCGTGACCTGGCAAGCGTGTTCCGTCACAAAGGTACGCTCATATAAAAATGATTTAGACCTATTTATTTTGTCATGGGGTATGAGTTCAGGGACATGTAGTATACAGGGCTCAAATATGCATTATTTTATTCCGCCATTACCTGTCTATAAATTACAGAGTTTTATTTTTACAAGTCCGAGGCCAAAGATCTGATAAAGTGTCCCTGCATTTTTAGTTTATGATAAGAGTGTTTTTGGCTTTTTATGGCGTTATGATAGATTTGATCTGTGGAAGTGTCTACTGTCTGGCTGTATACCAGACAGAAATAGAATTGTTCAGGAGGAGGAATGCAGAGGGAGGTTTGTGTCTGCAGTGGCCCAGTAGCAGTTAGACTGCTCTCTCTCCACCTCATAAGTCAAAAGTGACAGAACCTTATCCTGCGTTTACATCACATTAAGTCCTCTGCAAATGGAAGCAGGTGCTGTGTGCCATAATCAATTCACTTAATAACCCATTAACCAAAGTGACTAAGGGTTTTCTTATGTCCTGTCTCCAATGCACTCTTATAAGTACCTTATTACTGCCTTCCACAACAAAACGCATTGTGTTTTTTTATGTCCAGTATGTTTTGGAGGTGGGCTCAAACTAATTTGGTGGCACCTAAGCATGTGGTGCCAGGTCGTCTCATTTAAATGCTTCAAAACATTTACAAATACAGTTATTACTCATTGTCCATCCATTTGAACTGCAAACAGTACACATTCAGTTTAAAATCATAATAAAAATTTTGCTATGAGAAACTGTAATGACGCTATATGTAATAATACAGCTTTACATACAAACATAACTTGCTAGTACTGTGCTAACCTACACTCCATCCAAGAAATGCATAGAGACTGTTGAGAATTGACTGTTTGCAAAATTCTCAGAAATCCTGCCTCTAGAAGCAGACAGATGAATAGATTCTGAAACGTTTTTAATTTAAAATGAACTGGTTTTACAAGATGTTCAGTGCACAATATTTAACATACGTGTTTGAGAACTGACAAAATATGCATGCTGGCCAGTTAAAGTGAACAAAATAAGGATTCTAGGAACCATGTTTACCTTAATCGAACCAGGGAAATTGTTTAGTTTTAAAATGGATGCTGCACCTTCAGATGAGGGTGACAGTGGGGCTACTGAGAGCAATCTTACGTGTTGAGGAGTACTCATTATCTTTTACACAAGGTCTTTTGGCAAGTTTTAATGAAACAAAACAGAGAATTGCATCGTTTTTTCTTTACACACAATATTAACCACAAATGTGAGCGCTGTTTAGTCCTGTTTAATCTAACTTTAATGTTGTTTGTCGTACGACATCATATTAAAATGAATTTTTGAAATGACCCTTTATGAGGTTTTGCTTACCTTACAGCTGGTAAAAATCTGCCTGTTGATACTTTTGATACTGAGGTGTGAGTGTGGTCTTCCTCAAAGTTTGGTCCAAACTTTTTCAGATCCGGGAATAAAATAAAAACATCGCCAAATGATCAGGAAAGCGTGTGTCAGACATTATACTAGAGGTCTACACAGGCTTGATTATTAATGCCCACATATGCCCGCTTAACCACATCATGTCCGCCTGCACCTGCAAATCCTAGTTGCCTGTTCTTGCCCGCACCCGCCTGCTTCAACCACACGTCATGCCCACCTGCGCTCTCTATCTTGGGCTGTGGTCCTTGTCCTCATCTGCACTGGTTTAACCTTTGTGGTCCGCACAGCTGGCATAGAGCATGCCTTTGCAACCCTCTGCTACAGGGCACTACAGCCTCCAGACCTATTGTACCTCCACATAGACAGCCACTGAAAAGAATGTTTGAGGAAGATGTTTAGTGTATTTTTAGGCTAAACAAAACCATGAAAAATTGCACATGGTACTACACAATGTCTGTCGATCATACTGACTAATTTACTGCTGCTGCCGTTCTTACAGCAGGTTTGTTTTGAGGAGTTTTGCTAAAGCTTTTCCTTCTCTTCATGGAGGAAGGAGCATATAGAGATGATTGTGATTGGCTGAGAGGTGTGTTGATCATAATTTTGCAGAAGCTTACTTGATTGATTGATAGTCCTTAGAGTTCAGAGAATAATAACATTTCTGCTGTTCTCTGCTGTCCTATCCATTTTTTGTTTGCTGGCTACATCTGACTTAATCCTAATACTGGAGAATTCCACACATTAGCTAGAGCATTAAAGAATCACTTAATAAATCATACTAACGTTGGGTATTATGTCTATTTTCCACAAAACACTAAAACACAAAACATATCTTGTATTATTTATAACTTGACCAGCACCTTTTAGTTCCTTGGCTTGCATCCCAGCCGTTAACCTCTCTACCACCTCCCCTACCATGAAAACCAACGGTGTGCGAGAGAGCTACACAAACAGTGCTGCTGAGCCTGGGCAAAACAGCCTGGCAAGGTGAGAGAACAAGTGAACTGTGCTGGCACCTGGCTCTGGTGCAGGGCAAAGCCCTCTCGCCCAACTCCAGCCCTAATGACTCAGAGCACTGTTGCTATGTGCGAAGCCAGCAGTAATAATAATAGCGATGATAATAATGATACCAATAATCGCATGCTAACCACAATTGCCGGTGCTTCATTTGCTAGCTTAAAAAAGCCTCCAAGTGGCTTCCAAAGACTGATTATGTGTTGGATACGATAAGGTATGCGGCAAGGAAAATTAGAGTGTTGTAAGAGCACAGCAACGTTTCTGTTAAACAGTCCTTCTCCTCTGCCCGGCCCTGAGTTGTGTTATGTTCTTTTGGATCCTATGCACGGTTGGGTGTGAACAAAGGTAAATTTTGGCCGTCAGCTAGAGAGGAAAGCAGCATGATGCTGGCCGAATATTTAATGCGCACTTAAAGAGGGAAATCTGGTTTTTCAACTCTCTCAGAGTTATTTGAACAACATATAAAAATGTCAAGGTCAGACACTATGTTTGAAATGAAATGACCAAACCATTCTTGTCAAACCAAAGTGCGCGTGGGGCTAGGGGCGCTAACTTAAGCAGAGCTTTTCACTGGGCTGTCTGGGTTTTGGAGAGCGTGCGGTGCGCCCACTTCAACATCAATCACAGCCAGAGTGGCATTCCGTGACAAAAATCGTTTTGGAATATATTTTACAGCAGCTATAATTTAAAGGAGCTTTTCCCCCCTCTGTTTTTTCCCCTCTCAAAAGTACATGAGCGAGTCAGACAGCTTGTGTTGCCAAAAGCAGACAGCATGTCTTTGTGTGAGTGATGCGAGACTGAGCACAGTGACGGGGCCGGCAGGAGAGGGGAGCAGAGGGGAGGGGGGTGTAGGGGTTTCAGAAGCAGGAGTGTGCTGGATTGGTGAGGGAGGGAGTGAATTTAGGGGCTTGAGAGAATGAAGAAGGGAGTGAGGAAGGAGCTGGTGAGGTAATACCTCCGCCAAAGCACTGGGAGAGAAGCATGTGTTAGCCATTTACCTGATTACTGATACATCAACATGAAAGATGATTGATGGCAAAAAATATAATTATGTTCATAGGCTTTGTGTGTTTATTTAAACAGTGATTTTGTTCTCTTTTTTCTGAAAGCAAAGATGCATGATTTTTACCATAATTCATGAAAACTGCAGTATCTCTCTGTCTTTTATCTCTGAAGTAGAGCTTCAACTGTTTGTCAGACATCATTTCCCAAAGCCTCCCACTTTGAACAGTTTGAAGGCCCTGCTTAATAAAGAAATTTTTTAAAGCTTAATTTAAACATGATTATTTTGTCACATCATATTATTTTGTAACGGAATTATATTTATCTGTGATCGAATGATGGCTGTTACATTTGCTACATGGTAATTTAACCATCAGGTTTTATGTATTGTTGGTGGGTTGGTTCGGATAACTTTTTTGGACAGAAATTTGTTGTGCTCGGGTCAGTTTCGGACTCAAAACTTCATAATATGGGTGGGGTCAGGTTCAGGCAAATTTGTGTTGGTCTCGGGTTGGGTTCGGACTCAAAACTTGGTGCTGCGCTTTGAGCTGGGTCAGGCTTGGACAGAAATTCTTGGGTTGTATTCGGGTTCAGACCAAAATTCTAAGGCCTGATTAAAGCTGTACTCTGAAAACAGACTGAAGTGCCTCTCTGTGCAGCTTTCACATCACATTCATAAGTATCAGTTTTAAAGGTACCAAAAAGGATTCTATACAGCAATGACATAGAAGAACCACTCTTGGTTCCCTAAAGAACCTTTCAATTCATGGAAGCATTTTTGTAAATGAGATGTACAAGTGTGAAGAACATTTAGGAATTTAAAAAAAATGTAGGAACCTGTTTTTAAGCATGTAAATAAACATCATCTTGAACTGTGCACACTGAAGTGTTACAGAATCATGAACATTGTCTCAGAGGAGACTCAAACATTTCTCTGGAGTTACAGCAGAGTGAGGAAATGTCTTGATGGAGGAGTCAATTCTATGCCAAAGAGCGGAGTGAACTTTCTGCCAAAAAACAGTCATGTTTGAGGTCAAGGGCCAGTATTTCAGCTGCAATTATGCACTCTCCCGTCTCTTACCTCAATGGGGAGTCTATGATGTGCACATAGCACACTATAATTACAGATAGTACATTCTTCCCTCTCACTGCCTCTCAGCCTGTATTATGTTTTACACATTCGTTGTTTTGCACAAATGTGTTCGCACTTCACCCCTCATTTGACTCAAGGAGGTCAAAGGAGTTGACACGAAGCTTAAATGTTTGCCCAAAAGCTGCTTGTAGGGTCTCAGAGAGCCAAGCATGGCTTATGGCTGATTTTAGACCACCAGATATCTTCTCTCTCCTTTTTCTCCAATACATGATTCACGTCCTATCTGGCCTGCCCATGTCAACAAACACCTGCCAGTATGTTTTGTTTTCTTAAAAAATATTGTTGCTATAGCGGTCGTCTCCTAATAGATGTATAATAACAAAGGCTAATAGACAGAAGGTGCACTGTAAAGTGTTTAACTCTTTGGATGGGATTAAATAAGACTGTCTGCTCTTGAAGTCAGTGTTTGTAGTTGCAGCTGTTTAGACCTGCTTCATATCACGCTTCCTTATGGCATCATGATGTGTGTTGGTGTTGGCTTTGCAAAACTGGACACTTCTAGTATATCATTCATCAAGTGTAATGCATGCAATCAATGTATAATTTTACTGTAGCTAATTGAAGCTAAAACCAATGTGGGGACATGTTGATGATGTTTAAATGTTCATGGGTGAAGCTGAGTGATGAAAAAGGGTGACATAAGCATTCATAAAGCTCTGCATGAATGCTTCATAAGACTGTCTTGAATGTTTCAGATCCTTCAGAAAAACATTTATTCAGCATATTGTCACTGTCAGAATAAAACTTTGTATGTCCAAAATGTTACCTTTACAGGAGGACAAAATGTTCTTAACTTAAAATAGAAGTTAACGTAAAAATATTTTTGCATGTAATTTTAGTGCATTTAATGAAATTTTAACACAATGCAAAGGGTAGCTGGAGTTTTCAAATTATTCAAAAAAGATCAAAAACGAAGGTCCCGATTTTTGTGTGGCAGCGATTATGTATAACATATATGATATTACAGTGGAATAGCATGCTTGTCACTTCTACATTTCTGCATAGAAGTCCACTCTGGGCCCTCTGAGTGGTGTAACTATCTAAGCTTTGGACCTATCATTAGGAGATTGTGAGTTTGAACCTTGGCAGCGCCACAGCCATCTATGACCACAGCATAATAGGGCATAATTAGCCTCGCTGTCTCTGGGTGCGTAGGATTGCCCGCCCTCTCTCCCCATCACTCAGCATGATTATAGCCAACGCAGGTACCTGCTAGCTGCCGTAACAGAATTGGCAGTTAGCTTTCTCTTCCAAGCATGTAGAACTGTTAAAAAATATGGTGCTGGAGGAAGCAGATGCTAGCTTTGTTTGATGGGAGAGATCTAGCTAACGAGTGCAAAAAAAAAAATCATTACTGCTTAATCAAGCTTGATAAAACCTTTCTTAAAATGAAGGTACTTACTATTCAGTACTCATACACGCTTATTGCTCTGTGATAATTTCAGTGCTCGGTCTAAAATGTTGCCCGTTGTAATTCTTCAGGACTTGCAAAGGTAGATACAAGCTTTAGAACGTTTTATGGAGGTAGTGCCGACCTAAAGTATTAGTATATTAGTATTTTTATTGTTGCAAATATCTAAAAGGGGATTTTAGTTTATTGTCATTTGTCTAGTGACAAGCCATACTTTTTCACAGATATATATATATAAGTGTCACTCCATTTTTACCTTACAAGACTTAACTTTGGCAGCTGTTCTCATCATTACTGTTCTACTTGCAAGAAAACATTTGGTGGACTTTGACCAAAACCAAGTGACCTTGGACACTCTCTACAATCGCCTTTAGGGCTGGGACGCCAGAAACCGTAACTGTGAATAAAAACAGTCATATAACTTAACCGTACATCAGAGGTTTGTTGAGGCACTCCGTGACCACATTATACCCCTTTTAAATGTTTACTGTAGTTTGCCACTGTACAGATCTTGGCAAACGAAGCCAAAATCGCAGCAAATGCTCTCTGTATCCTGCTCCAAGCCACAGAAAGTGGTGGTCATTGAGAATAAGCGTGTGTAGTGAGCAGCGTGGGAAACAGTACTGGACTACAGTCACCTGATTTATTCTAACCCCAGATATCTGCTGCCCTCACAATCATCTGCCCAAGTGCACTCCCAATGTTCTGGAGCTTCCAAGGTTTTCGATTCCAGCTGGTACATGAAGAAAGGAAGTTTTTCTTCTCCAGCTTATAATAGTGATAATTTTAGATATTTTTGTACCATGTGGGATTACCTTTGCCAGAATGAAACCCACATAGCTGAAGCTTCTGGTGAAATTATCCTTGAATGAGGATGTATCCCTAGAAACTCCATTAGACATTATACCTGCGGTGTCTGAGCATGCCTAGTAACTTTCTTTCATTCTTACAGGTTTGAGGAGTTCAAGGCTTTAGAGATGTTGGTGAGTCTGCTGACAGATCAGCCTGAAGAGGTGCTGGTCAATGTGGTGGGGGCTCTGGGGGAATGTGCTCAAAGACCTGCCAACCGTGCCACTATCCGAAAGAGTGCTGGCATCCCACCCCTGGTCAGCCTGCTGACAGGAACGAACCAGGCCCTACTAGTCAACGTTACCAGGGCTGTAGGAGCCTGCGCAACCGAGTCTGAGAACATGACGTAAGTCCAAACAAGCTTTAACCTAGAATGAGGCTTAGGCATAATTGTTCAAAGAGTAAGCCTGTTCCACAATGCATCAAAGCTACATTGTGTTCACTGTGTTGATTCCTTTTTCTCAAAGCTTGTTGCAGGTCTTCTGTCCCTGCTTGGTTCGGTGAGGGAGAGGAGGCCACCACACTGCTGTGACCCCTTTGACATGTTGTGTTTTGTGCTATAAGTCAAGCCATTCACTAACCACAACCCAGAATAGATTTGAAGTTTAAGCCCAGCGTTTTCTGACAGTAGCTCATAGGCTTACATTGCTGGCAGCCTTTAAGGTCCCATGAGCCAGCTTTAAAATGGTTCCCCTGCCCTTGGCCTGCTCAGGGTTAGAAGGAAACCACAATGTTGCTCTGGCTGAAATGTGCTGTTGCCACCAATTCTGAATTGTAAGTCAAGTTCCTCTCTCTCCTGGAGTTGTCAAAGGATGCTTCAGTAGCTTACAGTGTTGAACGTTCCTATCTTTGGCCCTCTAGCGAGGTTGCATATGCTACTGTTGCCGTTTGCTTGGTTTGGGCTGGGGAAGACACAACATTGTTCTTCCCATTTAAACAGACCATATTCACCACTGCTGCATCGGATCCAAAGGGCCCTGAGAGGTCCTTTCCAGCCTGCCGTCCATGCGCTGTCCAAAACTGACAGGTCCAGTGTGGAAACCCTCATCTCTCATGGCTGTAATGACAGGGCTGAAAGCACTTTGTTTACGCTACCTGCTGCACTCCTCATTGCTGTGGCCAGGGTGGAGGCCTTTATTGTCTCTGTGCGGTCAGTCTGTGTAAGCTACAGTGCAGTGCTGGCAAGGGTGGTTAGGCCCAGCCACACAAAACTGGAACAGAGAGAACATCAACATAGGATCTCTATTCACTGAGAATATCTTTATTCAGTAAAGGCCGGTGTACACGGATTACTGCCCTCAGAATTGCTCAAGCTCCGTTGAGCTTGATGGGGATCAGCAAAGAACAGAAAAACTTAGATTGGGTGAGTTATGTTCAAGAACTGACTGTACTACTCATGGAAATTCATTCTGTTGTTGTTACGCTACCCCATGTTGACTTTTAGCATGAGAATTTTTTGCAGGTATTCCACAAATGGTTTTAAGGAAGACATAACAATGTTCTTCTCATTTCTTCTTCTTTAAACACACCATGTTCACCACTAACCATCATTGCCTAGAACACAATGATCTGTTTTTCTACTTTCACAAAGCAAAGCAATGCAAAAGTTGATATTTTTCACTTTTATAGTTTTCTTTATTTCTTTTAGTTTTTGTTATTGTAGTAATACATTTAGTGTTCTTTATGAATCTGTCTTACATGCTGTGTGCTGACACAAAAATCTATCTTTAGTTCCAGCCTCTTAGGCAACGTTTTGGAGCTTTCAGCTCAACAATAGCAGACTAATCCTGTGAGCTATGCTAAGAATTGGCAATGTTGCAGGTAAATGGTTAAACAACTTAGCTTCTTGTTAGACTAGGCTATTATTTATGCAAGGGTCCCACTAAAGTCCATACATAAAAGACATTAATACATACACATAATTTACCACAATGTACAACACAATGGCATTGTTCTTATTATACTAAATGTAGCTAGCTGCTTTTTTGGTGTTATTTAGACATGTTTGAGTGTTTCATTTAGAAATGTTATTTAGGCTTAGGACATTTAGTCTCAGGAAGTCTGCTGTATCGTAATTCTAATAGACTCATCAACCATTTGGAAGTCTATCACTTGTCTTCACATCATAGCTCCTTGAATCCACATTCACCATTTAATCATCTAGAATCTAGAGGGTCTGGGACTTAACTTCACACCTTGCCACAATGCCTTTTTTAACTCTGTATCTATATATAAGCCTGTTCTTCTTGGAAGATCAGGAGAGGACTTGCTGCTCTGCAGTATCAGGGTCACACCATACCTTTCCATTGGCCATCCATATTTGCAATTAAACCACATTTCCATCATTCCATGAGCTCGCTGCAAAGTTCCTGCGACACTTCTCAAACTGGCATGCCGCTTATGCATATGCAGAGTTGAATCTTGTTATAGATTGGCCTGCTAACCAGTAGGCAGTTGTCCATATGTCAAAAAAAAAAGAAAGTAGAAGTGGATAGAATATCATGTTTAACAGAGCCCGAGACTGCCATGTGATTCCCCAGGGAGTGTGGTAGCACATGATCCAGTGTGTTCTACTGTATGTTTGCACCATCTGAATCTTATTATTTTTACAAGACTGTTATAGACTCCAGTCCTATTCTTAATTAATGCTGGACACAAATACAGAGCTTTATGTTTGAGTTCTCCCAGTCAGGCAGCCGTGACCAGCCATTGTCTAAAACAATAATATGTTTATGGATGTAAGCCACCACAGTGGTGTAGTAAAAATCCACCGGGCTTGTTTTTAAAGAAATAAGGTCACTCACTCCACTTCTGTGAGAGTGACAAGGAGCTCCAGGCTGTAGAAAAATGGATCAGCTCCTAAACAACATGTTCTTCACGTTTTCTCAAGGCATGTATATTTAGGAGCATCTTTTTTTACATTTACACTTAGTTGTGGACAGAAAGCCTTTATTTTCCTCCTGCATGCATTTTTCCCCTTCGTCTTGTGGCTTATTTTGAGAGTTCTGTGCTGTAGTTTGCTGAGCAATTAGCATAGCTACCATTTGATTGTTTCCTGTTGCAGCCCAGTCTGGTCAGGACTGTGTAGGAGATTAAGAAGAGCACTGCAGTCCAGTCTGGTGTTACTGCCCAAATTGAGACAGAAGAGAAAGTTACAGAACTCTTAACAGGAATTAGGGTATTCAAGTCAAAATGATTTGAATATTTAAGTATATTTAGTGGATGGAAAGATGGATGTAAGGGAAAAAATGCAGAATGTCATGTTAGTTACTGTGTATTGTTAGGCCTATTGTTAGTTCTGCCTCTACAACTGCCCAAACTCAAAAAAGCCACTATAGCAAGGATTGTTTACTTTAGCTCATACATATTGTATACATTGATTAATTGGTTATTAAAGAGATTGGGGAACCATTTGTCAAACGGCATGAATCTGGTTTGAATTCTGGTTTGAATTCTGGTTTGAATTCTGGTTTGAATTCTTCATTCTAATTTTTTTTTCACACATCCTGATCTGACACTGATTGGGTATAAAAACAGAATTTTTCATTTTCTCTCTGTGGTAACTGCATACCTTAGTAAATTGGTTTAATGTTAAAAGTAAATACTGTAATGCTCACTGAACATTTTCTGTCAGCATTTCTGTTCACTGACTCATTTTGAATGTGTTGCACTTCTAGGTCAGTCAGACAAGTGGAGCTGGTAGATAAATCTCATGTTCTGTAGTTCCACAGCTAAACCAGAGTCCCTAAGGAGTCCTGCCAGTAGATTGTAATTCCTCTTTGCTCTTCTAGTCAGCACTTTCTACCTGCTGAAATACAGAGATCCTATCATCTTTGAATCAGTATTGTGAGTGTTGGGGTTGTTGTGAAGCTGGATTTAGTGGTCCCTCGGGAAGCAGGGAGGGTTCTCCCTGTTATCATGCCTCTGGGCTTGATTTATGACCCGTGGAGGGGACGCGTGTCGCTGGGACCTCTCTGACCAGTGCATGGCCCAGCCCCCAGTCATGGAGATCCCCCAATTACAGCGTGGTTTAGTAATTATGACAGCATTGAATGTCGGCCTTGTCGGTGGACGCACACATGGGAAACAGGTTATGCGTTATTTATACTTGACAAACAGGCCACACTGAGAAGCCATTCTGCTCAGCTTCCCATAGCCTGACTACAGCCTTGAGTAGAGTGGTGTCCACAGTGTGAAATACAGCCTAGTCTTAAGCAAACCTCACTCAGACCCAGTGAAATATAGAGAGACTTGTATCCAAGACTGTTTGATTTGGAAAGAGGACTTTTCCCTGGGTTTTTTCCTTCTCTGTGTGTCAGTGACAAGATCTGAATTACCCTGTAAACTGTGTGTGCGTCTCTATGTGTGTGTTTGTATGTGGCTCGCTCTAGCTATAAATATCCGAACGGATCTCCGAAAGTACTGCACACCAGTTTCCTGTGGGTCAGCTTCTGGCCAGGTGAAGCGCTGATGTTTTGTTGACCCTTTCTTGGCATTCTAGTTGTGTTTGAGAGCAAGAATGTGTAAGGAGTAAGTTTAGGACAGATGAGGGTGTGTGATGGCAGGTCATGCAGAGTGTTTCTAATCGGATACTGGAATGTTTTCAGAAACTTAACATAGTGCTGGGTGATGTTTCATGTACACTAATAAACAGGAATTGAGGCCTGTGCCTGGTTACAGTTAACTGCGTCATGATTGTAACAGCCCCCTGTAAAACCTTAATTACCACCAGTTTAAAAAAAATGTTTATTTATTGAATTGTTTCATGCAAATGGTAGCAAGACACTAGTATTTCCACATGTGAACATAACTAAACTTTTAAACATGTTGGGTAATGTGATATCCTACATTAATACTACTGTTATTTTACTGAGTAGTGATAGAAACATGGCTGTTGAGCTGCACTGGTTAAACATACTCATGGATGTGGTGCTGTATGCAGTTGCGAAAGGCATATATCATATCTGTACAAAATGTTGTGTAGTGTGTACATTTTAGGATATTCTCAGACCACAGCGTCAGAATTCAGACGTCATTCAAAATGGCTTTGGGTCGCTGGAATAACTCAAGCGCAGATCAGGCGAAATGGCTTTGGACAAAAAGGCTTCAGATTAAGTGAATACAGACAACATGACAAACATTAAACAAAATGGCCTCAGGCAGTAAAGTTCGTATGACATTCACAATTTCATTCTTTCTTCCGAGATTGATTACAGTTTACCATGATACAATGATATGTTTGGAAAATATTATATTGATATTCATATTCATATGATATAGATTTTTTTAATACTGCCCAGTACTAACTTATCAGGAGGGATGCTATATTATGGGAGCAATTGGAGAAAATAGCCATGTATGGGGAATAAGACAATGGCTATGCTGTTCTGTACTATGCTTTGTGTTTGTGTTTTCATGCTTTGCTTTCATCCTTCTCTCTCTCTCTCTCTCTCTCTCTCTCTCTCTCTCTCTCTCTCTCTCTTTTACTCCCTCTCTCTCTCTTCAGGATCATTGATCGCCTGGATGGGGTGCGCCTGCTCTGGTCCTTGCTGAAGAACCCGAATCCCGATGTCCAGGCTAGTGCTGCTTGGGCCATCTGCCCTTGCATAGAGAATGCAAAGGTACAATAATTTACTGCATGGTAATAAGACTAGCAACACAGCAGCCAAACAAATGATGCAGAATACATATTTTGACTGCTAGACCAGAAGGCTCTCTGGGTATTAAGGCAGTGGACTCAGACTCCAGGAGTGGCTAGACAGCAACAGACAACAAAAAAAAGTGTGTTTGCATGTCTACCATACCGGGTGCATCATTTTGCATTGTTTATTTTGGGTCCCCACATCCTCTTTTTATTAGTCCTTTGAGCTGCTCTTTCGTTTAGCTCTTCAGCTCTAGGTATGTTTTGGCATAAGTGTGTAATGAGAAAGCTAGAAAATTCTAATGTCTAGACACAAAGTGTGTAATCTGTGAAGAAGTGTATATGCATTTTAAAGCCTGAAATTTTTGTCTGAACTCAAATACAGTCCCAGAAACAGCATTGTGTTCTGAGTCTGAAACTGACCCAAGTTCAACAAGATTCTGTCCAAAATGGACCCAAAGTGGCCCATCGCCCAAAGTGTCAAGTAAAACCGGATGTTTCTAATGATAGTGCAGTTTAAGTGATTGCATAGCAACTATAACAGCTGTCATTGGATCATGGAAAGTCAAGACGATATAATAAGGATTTAATAAAATAATCAGCTTTCTAAAATTAAGTTTCTGTTAAACTTTCAAATGCAGTGCTTTCAAACAACATTAAGTGTTTTATTCTGGATTATTGTGTGTTGCTAAGAGCAGGCTAATAGCCTTCACCTGTTTAAAAATACCTAAAACAAAACCACCTTTGGTCAAACAAACAAAACATTCTTTTGGCTGCACTAAACTGTCCTGTCCTGAATCAATTCACTGTGTTATTTCTCGTGCGGCCGCTCGAGCGTGGGCCTTGTGGACCTCAGCGCTAAATTCTATCAACAACACGATGGCGTTCAAACTCGGCTGAACCAGACCTGTGTAGTCGGGTCCCATCGGGTTCAGACAAATATTTCAAGCTGTAATGCATGTTGTTCTGACCACCACCTGTCTGGTGAATGTAGGCCAGCGTTGAACTCAGTGAAGCTTTGTGCTAGGTTTGCAGCTTGTTCCTTTCTCTGGCTGAAAACCATCTGCTCTGCTGTAATATCCTGTGGATTCAGATCTTATTATACACACATCCATCCATTCCTCTCTTTCTTTCTTGTCTCTTTTCCTTTGTTTCTCTCTGTTTCTCGTGTTGCAACACTGCAAACCATTCAATAAGCTTACACAAAAAATTTCTTACCTCATGTACAATTCACAGCCAACAAAATACACCACGTAAGTCAACAGGTGTGACAGACAGTCATTGTTGTAATCCTTCTTGAGCAGTAAGTGTTCTTAACACTGCCCTTAATCACTGAACACAGCTTTATACATATATCATTAACACATAACATGTTAGACATGTTTAAAAATGCTTCTTTCTCAATCAGAGCCAAATTTAGCTCTTTTATTCACCAATATATAAATATTAACCTCCATAACTGGCACAAGTCTAGTCTGCCCTCTTGAGCCTCTTGTGTAACGAGCCTGCACAAATGCGTCATTGTTCTACAAGCTTATCAGCATGATTAACATAAATAGGGTGTTGCTTGTGTAATCTTAGTGGGATCTAAATATACAGAGACTCTGCGGTGGCCAGGTGTCTCGGAGAAGTTTTTTTTTTCTAGAAGGTTTTTTTTTTTTTTCCCCTCTGTAGCTCCACTGGCTCTAAACAGTGGTAGACATTACACAGGTTAACCATGTAGATCAAAAAGTCCACAGCTCACAGCCTGAGCCCTAACAAAGTTTGACAATGTTTGTCTGGCATTTACAGTGTCAATTTTTTAGGTGCTTGGGGAGCGCAGAGTTTACAGTCCAGGGAGGTGGTGGGTTAGTGACAGGAGCAAAAATTGTGTGCCCAAACAAACGGGGAACTAGATCAGCCTCATGGCAGAGGTTATTTAGAGAAAGGCCCATGTGGCTTGAGTTAGCAGCTCCAGGGCCAGATTTAGGAGAATCACGCTGGAAGAACAGCATCTGGGGGCTTCCAAATCCTGCAGGATACACAGAGGCACACACACACACACACACACACACACACACACACACAGCATGTATTTACTATGAAATCTTTAGTGATTAGAAACTACTGTGTGATTGTGCTTTGTTCTCAGATCAGTCTGCTGTACAGCAGTAGTAGTTTTCCTTAATGAAAGCCACCTTTAATCTGCCCTGTGCAAAAATAATTGCAACGCACCATTACCTCTCCTTTTTTTGCAGTGAGGAACTGAGAGGCTTGATTACTTTGAAGTAATCCGTCTTTAACTTACGCAGTGGTCCCACCTTCTGTATTCTCACTGACTCTTGGTTATGCGTGCAGAGTGTTTCTCTGCTCTCTCTGTAGTAGTACTAGTAATATTACTGTTCGTATTAGTGCTTTGCACAAGTGCTTTTGACAAACACACATCTAAAATGGGGCACAAGAGTCATTTATACAAATTAAGTACAATATATGTTACAAAAGACTCAAAACACAAAGACAAAACAGATGAATTTAAACAATTCTGTTGCACATCACATCTTTTTTTCTCCTCTTTGCCCACATTACCCTTTACAGGCTCAATGTTCTTAAAGCTATCAGTATTTTTTTGGGTAAAGGTACTACCCAGCCCATCCAGTCTGACCTTTTGATTGTGACATATGGCAAATGACATAGTCCAAAAACTCCTGCCTAATCCAAGTAGCCCATGCTGACATTTGAATGAACCTTTTAGGCTTTACAGGGTGCAACCATGTTTTTTTCCTGCTAGCTAGGTGTCCCTCATCACACGAATGCTACCAAGCTGGGATAGTAAACGCTAGCATATGCTTCCCTTTGGAATACATGAAGCTAACCACTACATCTTTCAAACTGTGGTTAACACAGTGTCTTTTGACAGCTCAACGCATGTATAGGAGAAGACTAACTGCAAATTCTGTCCTGTCAGCTAATAGACACCTGCATTGACTAGCATCACTCTGAATGATGGGGAAGAGGGAGGGCCATCGCATCCACCCAGAGAGAGCGATGCCACATATGCTGTGTTGCATTACCATCCACAGATGGCTGTGGCATCGCTCAGGCCACACATATCGGGCTCGAGTCCTTGCAGGCTGCATCACTGCAGATTTCAACATTCTGCCCCTTTATATACACTTGTTTGAATTCTAATTGGCAAGATTTTCACAGAGCATTAGATGAGAGAAAAAGCTGATTTCTGCAAAGCTGTGACCCGGAAGGAACTCAGTTTGACCTGACTGGCTTAGATGGTTGCACCACTCAGGAGCTGTGACACCAGGGTGTAGCATATTTTTCTCTCTGCTGACTGTAATACTACTTTTAAATTTTTATCAGAAAAAGATCCAGCTTTAACCTCTCCTCTTTTGCTTCCCTGGTTTTTCACTGTTAACTCCTTCATTTTTAGACTTAAATTTTCAATAGTACAGTGTTGTACGCTTCTGTTTCTCTTTGTGCTCCCTCCCCCCGCTGCGTGCTGTGTGTGCTGATGTGGGTTGGTTGGGGATGTTTTTGTAGGAGCGGGTTTGAAAGGATTCCTCAGTGACCCGCCGCAGCTGGTGACTTTAACACGCTTCCTCTGCCTCTCCTTCTCTCCCTCTCTCTTGCTTTCTCTCTCTCTCTCTCTCTCTTCTCTATCCCTCCCTGTCTTCATCAGTATTCCCATGCTGCTGTTTCCTGTGTGAGACAGCCTGTGGATTCCTCTCTCTCTCTCTTTTTCTTTCTCTCTCTCTCTCTCTCTCTCTCTCTCTCTCTCTTTCTCTCTCTCATCCTCATTCTCTGCTCTCGCTCTCTTGCCCAGACTCGTTGAATGTCGAGCTCATCCTTTGGCATGACATCTAACACAGACTGCCCTCCCTCCTTCTCTCCACTCCATCCTTCCATCTCCTCTCTGCTGACCTCACTCGCCCGCTACAGCCGCCCATTCTGTTGCTGGACCATTTATGCTGTGCTGTACTTTGAGCAAAAGGACTGCACGGGTCTACTGTGCTTTGGGCATGGGCCCATGAGCTTGCACTTTTAAGCACTATTTTGAGGATTGATCTATGCTCCCCTTCACTGAGTTGAAAGGGTAGGCTTGCTAGAAACAGTTTAGAACAGGACAGTAAGCTTGTGCACCATTTGAAATTGTTCCCTAATCACTATTCCCTACATCAGGGAGCACTTTAGAGCATTAGTAAACCAGATTTATGATTTAAGTAAATTATTCTGTACACAAATGTTTCACGGCTTTGTTCTTTAACATGTGACTTTTATGACTCTATGAGTTGTATGAGTCACATTCACATAAAACACAGTGCATCATGGGTATTCCAGATGTGCTTGGTACATCATTGATACATTACCATTTGAAGTACATTATATGCCATTATATGCATGAACTGGATATTCAGTAGGTTTTCTACGAAGTGATCGCCACCCAAAATAGTGCACTGAATAGTGAACAGTGCAGCTGCCCAAAGTGTGGACCACGGGCCAAAGTTTTATTTGGCCTACCAGCAAGTTAACCTAACCCCACACCCTCAACCAACAAACATTTGTACTATATATAACTTACTAGAATCTTATTTTCCTTATAAAAACTTTCAAAGTATTTTCTGCAATGTTATCTAAAACATTTTAATGCTTTGGCCCTTGAAGGCATCTTTTTTTATAGGACATAGTTTCAGACACAGCCTTGCAGTTTTAAAAACATTCAGCCTGCATGCTCTGAAAAATGCTGTCTTTACAAATGAAATCTCCTAAATTTACTTGTTTCAAGATCATTTTCCAACTTTAAATTGCTTAAACAACCTTACAACCATTTAGATATTGCTGCTGTCGGAACAAAACCTTGTATCTCCATTTTTGTTGTTTTTTAGTTTTTCACATACTTTGAAAATGCCTGTTGTCCTTTATATTGTGTTTAAATTTCATGAGGAATGGACCAACAGAAATGGCCAAAATATACTTGGAAAAACGTTTGGTTCCATTGACTTACATTAAAAGTAAAGTCTGTTTTTTCTTTCTTATCATTTTGGAGATACGAGGTTTTGTTCCAACAGAAGCGGTATACTCACTAGATTTAAGCTGATTTCACTTGCCAAGATATATATTTTTGCAGTGTGCTTTCTTTAGTCTTAATTCTGAAGGAATATAAATGCACTATGTTCTAATTTGTTGCACCATCCAATTCCGAGCCCATAATTACACGTCTCTGTGCTGTCAATAAAGACGTCTTGCTGGCATTTTCTAATCACTGGAAACATGCTGGTGCCATGATGGTCTGCTGTATGTCGGAGGCACCACAATAAAGGCTGAGGTTTTTTAACTTAAATAGTGCCCATGGCTGCTGATTGTTTGTATGTGTGTGAATGCATGTGTGTTTGCCCGCTCTTCCGCTGTGGTCGTCCCTCGGCTGCCCACTATGCTATGGAAATGAGGCGCTTTGTGTCCAGCAGCTCGGAAAGTCCTGTGGGAGAATCCGTGCTCTCCACACTGGACCCACAGCCTAGCTTTGTACATACAGATCTGGAGGCATTTTATACATACACTGCCTCTTACACAGTTACACAATCAATCACGCAGCCTTTTTTAAACACAGGCCATAATATTCAGAAAGCACAAACTGTGCACACACAGACACACCCGTGGTGTGGCGGATTGGCTAGAATTGTATTATTGAAGAAAGTTAAAGCTACACTATGTAAGATGTTGGGATTTGGAAATGGAATGGTGACATTGCATGCAATATGTGGAAGAACATTTTGTAATGTCGGTTGTGCTTCTGAGCCCTTCACCAAGTGGATGAATCTGATGACTACGAGCGTGTTGAAGTATTTAAAGAGAACTCTGTGAAAACTTGCTGCAGGATGTATCTTCTGAGGATGTTAAGGAAGTATCTACCATTGTCAACATATCTTCATCAGTATAATCTTGATTGAGCTGGACCTTCTTTTTAAAGTATGACATGGTCTGAAAATCTGCCACAAAATCCCACCAGACACCTCTGACATTTAAATGACTATTTCAGACTTTACATGGCAACTGGCAGCAGTTGCACACTGCTTATCACACAATCATGCAGATTCATTTTGGCGCATTGAAGCTTCACTCATACAAGTTTAGAGGATGAAGACTCAAATCTGAGCAGGTAAACCCATTTTTATGGAGCTGTTAGCTTAAGCCACTTTTAATTCATGTGTTTGTTAGCATCAGAGGCCAATCTTAGCTTAGCAGGATGGGTAAACCCTCAGCAATTTTGGCTCACTGATGTTGCGCTGAGGTAAGTTTTGAGGTTAAAGGCTGAAATCTCAAGTGAAATGGATTGACTGAAAGACAACATCTTTCTGGTTGTTAAAGTTACAGTGGGAGCTTTGTTTCTGTTCTGTGTCAACTGTTCAAACAGAGACAGTGTTCAGGGTAGGGCGGGAAGGGGTGTAGTTTAGAAACTGTGCAGCGAAAGGGCATTTACTATTTGCATAATCGTGCGTAATTATAAATTTTCATATTCTTAGTACATGTTAAGGTTTAGGGATGCTTCTCTGCCATTTTTAGTAGTTTCTTGGGCATTTTTAACAGTTCAATATTCAACATAGATTATATTTTTTGTGTTTTTTATGAGTTTAGGTATTTGAACAGCAATGCAAAATATTTTCTTGCTGGAATTAATTTAAAGTCAGAAATAGAAGATGAAATGGATATTGGATATTGTTAAATGGAAAAAAATGCTTGGGATGGCTCCCAAGTACAGCCTATGTGGGGGAAATACTGTATGTAAATATAGATAGGGTTACATAGTAAGTCAGTAGACTCCGCCACTCTCATTCACACACACACACACACACACACACACACACACACACACTGTAATTGCTTGTGACTGTTTTTCCCCCTGGGGGTGTGTTTCAGGATGCGGGGGAAATGGTGCGTTCCTTCGTGGGCGGCTTGGAGCTGATTGTTAATTTGCTGAAATCGCCGAATAAGGAGGTGCTGGCCAGTGTGTGCGCAGCCATTGCCAAAATCGCCAAAGATGAGGAGAACCTGGCCGTCATCACTGACCACGGAGTGGTGCCCATGCTTTCCAACCTCACCAACACAGTAAGCCTTAGCAGGCCCTAGGCTACAATTCCATTTGCACGTTTACACTCACATCAGACATCTTCTTCTGATTTAGCGGTTTCAGGATTTCATAACCATCCATGTATTTTATATGCCCTTACACATAGTGAATAAAGTGTAAAGTGGTTAAAGACCACTCCATGTGTGGCACAAGTCCAGGGTTTTAGCATACTGTCACAACCTGCAGGACAAGTAAGAAGTAAAAGATTCATGATAATTGATTTGAGCTCATGGTGGTGCTTTCTCTCAATCTACAGGCAGATGATAAGTTGCGCAGGTATCTAGCAGAGGCTGTTGCACGCTGCTGTATGTGGGGCAGTAACCGTGTGGCGTTCGGGGAGGCTGGGGCTGTAGCTCCTTTGGTCCGCTACCTGCGATCTAAAGACCCCTCAGTGCATCAGGCCACAGCCCAGGCCCTCTTCCAGCTCTCCAAAGACCCCAACAACTGCATCGCCATGCATGAGAACGGCGTGGTCAAGGTATGGCTCCAGTACCCAGCACACTGTAGATACCTGTTTTTCATTACACCTCCCTGGCTATAGAGGAAAGTAGGGGGATCAAAGCATTTATTCAAACATACTCAAAGCAGATAAGAGATTTAAAGCGATGGTTTGGACAAAAATCAAACTTTTCACAATTTTCCCCTTACAGCAAATGCAGTCTATCATGCAAGATCAGCTGTGTTTGCTGTCTGAAGTTTTTTTTTTTTAAGTTTTCCACTGAAACTACAAGGCTAATGTAGCTAACATCATACATCTATTTGAGATTACTGAACAGCTCAACATGGTTTGAGACAGCTATACATACAAATTGCGCAATGCCATAGCTCATACACAATTGTTGCCGAAAGATCTTATTTACACAGCAGTCTCCAGATGTAGTTGGTCAGTAAAGACATGTTTGGTTTCCAAATTTTGCTTCTGCACTGTAAAATTGGAGCTATGAGGCTAACATTGAACACATTGATAACAAACATTAGAAGTTCATACTCACCCAATTCTTTTCTGCAAATTCATTGCCCAAAATTTCTCTCAACCCACTCAAACTGCAACCAATGCTTTAATGACTTATAAGTCCAACTACACAGTGAATTTTTGTAAATTTTTTTGTAGTTCACAGTCTGTCATATTTTGCCCAAAACCACAATAGAAAGTCTATGTGAATGTAATGAAGGGCAGGATGCAGTTTGAATGGATTGAGAGAGAGAGGTTTTGGGCATGTATTTAAAGAGATTACTTTTAGCATTTGTTAACATTTGTTTCATAGCTGCGGTGTTAAACTGCAGACAAATTTGGACACCAGACACATCTTCACTGATCAACTACATTTGGGGTATGTGTGTAATTAATTTTTGTCCAAACCAGTTTAATAAATGTCTTCTTTGAGTATGTTTAAATAGGTGCTTTACTCTATCTATTTTCACTGTGTTGTTACTGATTATTAGTATTTTAAAATGGATGCTTTTTCTTCATTAAGCTGTTTCAAACTGTTTTGTTCATTTACATCCTTGAGGCTTTAAGCATGTTCGCCTTTATATTAGGGTAGCTGTATGACAGAGTTTGCAAACACACACACACCATGTTTCCAGCTGGGGCCTCTCTGGAGGGCTATCCCCCTCTCTCTCCTTTTTTTTAAGTGACGTGTGAAAACATCACTAATAAACTTTGAAAGGCTGCAAACTATTTTCAGAGACCTTCTGGAGAAGCGAGGGCAGAAAGAACAAGGCCCGTTTTCTTTCTGGGCCGGCGGAAGCGCGAGCGCGTTTTTCTAGCCGTCATGGGAATTGAGCTGAGCAAACAGCAGTGTGTGTGTGCTGAGCGCCACTTTCCCTGCAGATCCCAGCGTCCGGCATGCCAGGGCAGCAGCGCACCCAAAGGCCGTCGCTCAGGGAACGGTTGCTAAGTGCACTGCTGGATCGGGACAAGGCAGAGTGTGAGTGTGGCATGTCTTTGGCTCTCCGCAGAGAGCACACAGACGGACAGTAGGCCATGAGGCTGCTGGACGCTTAGCCCTTGAGTGGCAGCTTTTTGAAGTGGCTGCTGTGTCTAGAGGTCATGTACTCGTGGAGGCACAATGTGCTTCAGGCCATGTAGGAACATGCAGAACCTTTATGGGTTCTGCTGTGTAAGACTTGGCAAAACAAAACATTAAATATTTGTAGGATTTGTCTGCCAGGGGGTGTAAATGTAAGATTTAAAGGGTGTTCTTTTTCCCCTCTTTCTGTTAGAATAATTAGCCAATGACAAATGTGCATGAGGGCAAGTGTTGTCCTGCTGAGTTCTTCAGTCTGTCATCCAGAATAAGACTGAATGCTTGGGATCATATGAAAATACTGCCAAAAATCCCTAGATTCTGGACTTTCAGTGCACCTGCTTTGGTCTTTGTTAGGTTATTTGTTGCATTTGCAAACAAGCAGACAAGGACTGGTGTGCACTATGAGCAGCATTTAACCAAAAATCAGACATATATCAGAAAAACTACAAAAATACATGTACGTCTATTCTGTACTATAGATATGTAGTATCGTTAGCATCCCGAGGTTCTTCTGTCTGATGGCTTAGTTTGTGAATGACACAGTTTATTCTTAGAGGAGGCCTTAAGCCAAGAGATATCTGGCATGTAAGCTGTAATTCTGGCATGAACACTGTAATCCAGTTTGGGGGGAAAAAATAGTTGTTTTGCTGATATGTAAATTGAAGCACATTTGGCATTTCCACCAGGAAAGATTTTCACATGAGAAAAGCGTTTGCGAGGACAGAGCTTTAAAACACTTCCCCCCACACCACCAATAGAAATGGTGATATAAATTATGAAAGTGGTTGCACCATTGCAGCCAAGTCTTTTTTCCCATGTTCCTTTAATGGCGAGCTCCAGGCTGATGTGCTGCTGCAGTGAGTGTGGTTCAGCACTGCCCATAATTGGAGGCTGGGCTGAACACTGGGTGTTCCAAAAGAGTAATGTCCAATTTGCAAAAGTTGTTAAGCTCAGTGTTTTTTTTTATTTTATTTTATTTATTTATTTTTGCCCAACTGAAGCCACGACAAAAGCTGTATGGCTAGTGTGTGTGTGTACGTGTGCACACAGACATTGTTCTAGGTGTAATTTTGTGTTTTTTTGTTGTTTTTTTTGTGGAAGTTGATGTGAACATTACATTGTTTACTACTCCATCTATTAGTCTGTTGCTGCTTAGCAGTGCAGTATTAAAGTTTCATCACCTGACCAACATGTGTTCTGGGCCTTTTAAAAAAAGTTAATACTTGTCGCAAACCCATTCCACCATTAGGCTATTACTCCTCCATTTACTCTCTAGAGCAGATGCGTACATTAAGTTCTCTCTGTATTTACCCGCGATATACCTGACTCACCCCAAGGACACATAACACAGAGAGGAGGGAGAGCAAGTCTGCTTGGCTATACATTTTTACCTATGATATATGTTTTGGTGTGGCAGAAAACGTGTTAAAACAATATTTCCTAACGTTGTAAATGGGTTTGGAGAGGGTTTATCGGGGAACGATGTCTGTGCTGTAGTCTAATTTATGGAGGGGTGTAAAACTCAAGACTGCCTCCTGCTATTATTGCAGCCGTATTTCAGAGTTAGGAGCTTTTTCTGAGAACATGTAGCAGCGTAGAGCAGTAATGATTTCCTTCTCTCTCTCTCTCTCTCTCTCTCTCTCTCTCTCTCTCTCTCTCTCTCTCTCTCTCTTTTTGTCTTCTCGCATGCTCTCTCTGAGAGTTGTGTTCAGACAGTAACTTTCTTGCTGGCTGTTCTTAATGGTGTAGAACCCAGTCCCCTATGCTCTAGCAAAGGAAATTAAGCATTGAGAAGAAAGTATTTTACCCTGGAAAACACATTAGAGACCCAGTCTGTGTTCTCCTTCTGTCCCCTTGATTTTACAAGCAACAAATGCTGCCTTTAAACTGTATTTTTACACTATGTATTCTCACACAAATAAGGAACTTAAAATATTTAATAAAATATTTCATAAAATTATGAAAGGACAGTGAATGAATGTTTCAGGCCAGTATTCAGTTTTTATGAGTATGTGTATGTTTAAAAGCAGCCGTTTGTTTCTCTAAGGAGGTTTTTATCTTGTTCAGCACTTTTTCTACTGGTGTGAATAAAAAAGTTGTTCAGAACTCACTCATTGTTGAGTGGTATTAATTTCAGTAACTGCAACACATAAATATATTCACATAAATACAACAGGTCAATAGAGAACATTGGAAATAAAGGTGCAGTCACAGTGGGACTATGTATGTGTGTGTGTGTGTGTGTGTGTGTGTATATATATATATATATATATATATATCGCAGGTGAAAACAATAATAAGAGAGAGATACAAAGGCCATTTCGTCATTGATTCGGTTGAGCATCTCTCGCTTATCTGTATGATGTTTTGTCTTGATCTTGTTTTAGATCCACAAGATTTCTGCATTGTGTGAAAAATAAAGTAGAATTCTATTCTATTCTATTCTATTCTCTTCTAGCCCTTCATGATTGACAACTTTTCATATACTATTCCTTAAGCATGCAGTCCTTGGACTGCCACCACATTCCACTGGTTCTTGTTCACCTTGCTCTCACACATCTGATTCAACTCTTGATTAATTAGCTGGCAAATTAAAACAAATCAATCAAACACTAGGCTGTGGAGAGTAGTGAGTCGTCCGGACTAGACCCAAGAGAAAATTGTTAGATAGGCCTCTGTATTGTTAGTATTATTCTCACATAAGCTAGTGTTATTTTTGAACTTTTGGTTTTGATCGTGGTCTTCAGAGTGAATTTTGGAAACCGCATTGTTTGTAGTTTTTGAATTTTGTTTTTGAAACACTTCATGTACTGTACATTAAGCTTATATTCAGTCTTTAGTTCTAGATAATTTCTTAATGACTAGCAGCTTTTAGTTTACACTGTGTCTACACTGTGTCTACACTGAGTCTACACTGTGTCTCACAGTTCCATTCGGATGTGTCTCATTTTGTCTCTCATGGAAGAAAAAAAAATTGATAAATAATGCTTTCCAAACGCTCGTCTGCCCTACCCTCCACTTTGCTTAATGCTGCTACTGCTGCCTTGTAGATTGTTTGCCAGAGTTCTATATTAAACAGCTCCTTTCATAAGCAAAAGCTTTGTGAACTAAATTGAGGTAAATTACAAAATGTGGATGGTAATTATCGGGCATTTTCATGAGAGGGGATTCCAGCTGGTGCGGGTTGCCAGATCCTGGTATCTGGTATGTAATTTTTGGGAGGGGGGAGAATAAATGAGAAAAAGGTTGCACAGGCCTGCCGTTGCCATGCACGCTTTGACTGATGCTATGCTGTTCTCAGCCTGTTTGTTTTCACTGCCATGTTCATGCTGAGCACTCAAAACACACACACACAGAAGACTAAGCGTTTGAAAGAGGAAAAAAGAAATGAATACACTCTTTAAAAAAAGGGTTCTTCAGGGTTCTTTAGTAAAGGCAGTATACA